GGGATACACGGAACCGGAAATAGAAGAAAACTTTCAATAGCTTCTAATGCGCATGCTTGCCAATTGATAGCGCAAATACAAACTTCTGGCCAAGACAAAAATTGGTCGGACATTTGTCAATTGATCATATATGTTTTTTTGAAAATTGCTACGATGTATTTCGGCTGGTTATGAAATAATCCGCACTACAATGCATCTTTGTTTAAACTGAGCATATATATATCTACCAGTTCTAAAGCATGAGTAAATTATGGTTTAGGTAATTCGATTTAGATATATCTTTGTAAGGGAGTGTTCATTATTTATACCCGGGGTTGGTACCATTGAAAGAAAAACGGGTTGGGTAAGTCATTTTTCTGGGGTATGAAGGGTTGGGTAAATATTTTTTAAACAAAGCCTACGGTTGGGTAAATTATTTTCAATACAAACCTTCAATTGAACAAAATATGAAAATCATTTATTTAACAAAATGGGTCATTCCAGTAAATATCCATTCATTCCCCACAAAGAAAACTAAATTCCAACTCCCCATCCCCTCTGATTACAACAACGAGATATGCATGGTATAGGACTGCAGGAACTTGGGAACATAATATGAACTTGTGAAGGTACAAATGATTATATTTGACATTCAGTTAGTGCACCAAATATGCACAGTACTGTTTATACTATAGTGGCCTAGCTTGTATACTTGATATATATGTAAAATATACTTGTATAATTTTGAAATTGGGTTGGGTAAAATAAAAATCCAAGTCATGCAATAGTTGGGTAGGGGAAAAAATGGTTGATCGAAAGGGTGGGTGGTTGTTTTTTTTCTCTTTTCGATTAGTTTATCTTCGGTACCAACCCCGGGTATAAATAATGAACACTCCCTAATTTAGGCAAATCAGTCGGTCACATGCCCAGTCATATAAAAAGCTTTGAAAACGGACAAAAGGAATTTTGCCGATGTTCGACAATAATTTGCAGTCCTGTAAGACTGTGGATTATACCAAAAGACATCGTAGAAGGAGGTCCGGAAATTTAATTTGCATGACTGTTTTATAGTCTACTAGTTTCCTACTGATTTTAAATTTTATGTTATGTAAAAATAATAACCTCTCAATTTTCTTCAGGATAAGTTACTTATATATCGAGAAATGCTGCCCTGTGTGTAAAGACATGAAGTTTCAATAATTATACCCGCGTCTGCATATTTGTCGCGTTAATGTACACAGTCACACACTGACGAATTATCAACACCATAACAATATGTTATACCAATAAACAGAATGCAGTTATTATACCAATAAACTGAACACTGTCTTCGATATAGATAGACCTAGAACGTGGAAAACTCTGTGTAGCAAGTGTTGTTCGTTGCAAACAAACTGTTGTTCGTAAATATGTATAGGAATGTATAGTCATAGTCCACGATATATTGTGATTGTAATTTTATGTATTGTTATATGTTCAGTGTAATTTTTGTAAATTTTTTGGTGGGACTTGATAAGGAACAAATAGTGCTGTTGTCCTTTCCATCAATCGTGCGATTAAGTTAATAAAAAAAAAAATTAAAATATTTACGTGCTATATAATGATGGTATAAATCGGATTCAACAATATAAATAATAGAATTTACTTACTGGAGGAACTGCACGCCGAAGACGTACAATCATTTCTTCCGTAGAATTGGCAGATAAAATTATAGGGTACAGTACACGTCCGTGTATAAAGGTTGGGTCTGTCCGTTCCTCTTTTTAGAACAAGAGCAGCACACTTTCCATTTGGTTTGAGTCTTAGACCTAGCGTTTCCGTAAAGTTTGTAATGGCATATTGTATGTCTTCACCATCCGCAAAAGTCCACGAACTGTTCACATATCTTAATCCAGTCCAGTAATAAGACTTTTCCTTTGCACCTTCTAAGACATGTGATGCCACATCTTTTAAATCTTGCTCCTCTTTAAACGAAAACAAGTGTCCACACAACGTTTTACAATGATTTTCTGCTTCCTGCCATGAAGCTAAGAGACAACAAAAAAATTGTAATCAGTTATCAGAGTATATAATACAATGCAATACATGTAGTTAGGGTATGATTAACAACTTGAGGGCACTCGAAGACAGCATTGTCATACCTCCGCCAGGGAATTGATGCATAAATTATACATTGGGCTAATGGACAACTTGCATGTTATAGACTAAATTTTAATCTAAGTAAAGAGAAGGGAATCAAACACCACAGCAAAAAAGAACTTAATAAAATTAGTAAAATTGCAAAATTTGGTTGCGCAATGTTGTAAAGCTTGGAAAATATGGCCTTGCAAAGTTTGCAAATTTTGTACATGTTTGTATTACGTGTGGAAATTGTTACCATGCATTTTCGGCTCAAAAATGGTAACAATTTCCGCACGTAATACAAACATATACAAAATATGCAAAATTCGCAACGCTATATATTCCGTATTTTACAACGTTTCGTAACCAAATTTTACAATTTTACTAATTTTAATAAGTTCTTTACGGGAATTTACTTTTTTGCCTAGATCAAAAATTAGTCTAACATGCAAGTTGTCTTTTACGCATTCAGTATCACTTTGCAATATTTTCGTATTAATATAGAGCGTTTGCACTCATTCCCCAGGAACCAATTCAACAAAAGCCATGGCGGCCATGTTGGTGTTCCAGACAAAAGAGTCTAATTAAAATTCTTTTGAATTGGAACACCAACATGGCGGCTGTGACGTCATATGTGCAAACGCTCTTATGTATAGGTTTGATATTTTTTTAGTTATTGTGATGAAAACAACACCTTCTGGCGATACACGACATTCGAATAACAAATTACACATTTATTTAAAACGACACACCATGCATTAATTGGAAAAACTAACTGGTAATCTATACCTTTTGAATTACAAATGGAAAACCATTTTGGACCGCGTTCCGTAGATGTACAGCACCCTGTGTAGGTTTGACTGTTGGCAGCTAAAATAAAATTGCAAGTAACATGAAACCATGTAAATGTATATATATAATATTTCACTTGAAATATAAATATTATTTGTAATTTTTTTATAATTGAAATAATTGAAATAAATACTAAAAATATACTATATATATATATATATAATGTAGGGATTTTGTTGTGTGTGATTTAAATGCGCAGGGATTAAGCTTTATAGTTATTTGTGCATGCCAAAAGCATCGGTCCAGTGTGACCAGGTTTAGTACATTTTATTACCAGATCCGGTTGGATGCCCTTAGACAGCCCCACCCGCTTTAAACAACTGCAACATTAAGAACAGGAGGGGGCAGCCAACCAATTTTAAGCAGTTTTAGTAAAAAAAATTGCATATATGGTCACACTGCATCGGTCCTTTGCACAATAATTGGTTAGGATAGTATAGCCTATATATGACCATTGTATTTTTTAAAACAAAGGGACAATTGATTATCGGGCATTGTATACCCATTGAATCGTGAATGGATGGCATGCAGTATTTCTTTGTTATAAGTATTATGCATGCAACCCGCTTGCATGTGGTAAAAGCATTAAAACTTTTAGAATAATTATTTCATTCATATATAGGTTATAATAACAATACTGTTACAACATTTTGCTTCAAATACAGCGTTATATACTTTGTATACACTTTAGATTTAAACTCCAAGCCATTTAAAAAGAGATATTTATATAACCAGGCATCTTAGAGTGTCTGGTGAAGAAGAACTATTAAGATCTTAAATTTATAACTGCATGCGAGTCCCATGCAGATATAAATAAAGTATATGTATATATATATAAACTTTATGATCTTTATAAAAACCCAAAATGATCATACTAACCTGATGCATCAAGAAAAGCTGGCAAAAAAGCGAGGAAAAGAAAATGCCACAACATGTTGTCCAGAACTATATATATGAAAGCTTTGTGCATGGGCTTTCGCCTTTACTGTGAAAAGATGTATTTGTTCATGCACCTGCTACAGTATAATGAGGCTTCAAAACAAACAAACCCCAAAAGGTCCTCAATGTCAATGTTTCATTGTCAGCCTGCTTCTGTGTGAACTTTTCATTTTAGCTGGCCACTATATATTTCGTGATTTCATTGTGGATAGTTAAAACTTCATTAACTAAATTCGGTATCCATTATTTTCAACATTCAACCATTTCATTTTCTCTAATTTTCTAACCATTATTGGAAAATAATGATTAGAATATATCGTCTTTATCGTTCCAATTTGGTTGGCAAACCTTATTAAAAATGGATCATATGACTTTGTGTATACTGGCACAAATTTGAAAATTAATTGCCAATACAATTGCCCATATGGGCCTATGGCGATGGATTAAATATGATTAAATATGAATTTAATTTGTCACACAATTGGTATACAGCAATGAAATTATAATAGATTACGGTAATGTATGAAATAAGTAATAATAATATATAATTTTACAAATAGGATTATGTGACGATGTTTGATTTGAAACCATTAGGCTTATTTAATATCAAACCTCCTCATATTTCTATTATATTAATTATACACAAAAATGAACTGAAATAAAACTTATATCGGTACAACCAATTTTTTTACTGATAAGTTGCAATTTGTATTATTAAAATAAAAACAATATATGTATTCTAATTATTTTTCACTACAATCAAACTTTATTAAATATGGATGGATATATAGGACTATATGTGAACAAATCAATGGATCGACAGTTAGCTAAAATAGCTACAGTAGTACCGATTGTTTCGAACAACCATCCAAATATTTTGTAACATTCAGTTGCATGCAATTAGCATTATTGAAGAATATAAATATAATAATATAGTTGATATCGTAATTTTTTCAAAACAGGTAAACATAATTCAAAATAAAACGGACGACATATAGGACTTTATGTCACATGAATTTCAAAACATTGTGATTTTGTTACATGTATAGCTATATAACGTTATTATAAGTGATAAACAAAAAATGAATGAAATATTATATCAAATTGTTGAGCTAGTAATTTTTTCTTCAATTAAATTAACGTCTGCAGTTCAAGCATACTGCATGCATGCGTCCAATTTGCGAGTCACGCGAATGTAAATATTTGTATAAAAAATCTTCAAACTGCCATTCAAATGCATATAGGCACTTCCCAAATTTGCATGCAGGCCGTGTCAAGGATAGTCCACGACATAGTCTGTGTAATGTGATATTTCCGCCCGCGAGCGTCTGTGACGCAGGCTACGCCAAGGAAAACTACTTATTTACAATGGATTACGTTGTTCGCTTCGATTCAAGCTATATTGTTTTGTGTGCACTCAGAAAGTGTCTTTCCCTGCTGGCAGAGGTCTCTATTTGTGCTGGGAAGCGAAGGAGAAGAGACCTCTGCCTAGATCTGACACTTCCTCAGTTCATGATCGTGGACGAGTCAAACCAGTTTGTAAAGCAAGTTCTGAAACCGGTTTGGAGAAACAAATAGTACGCATGCTCAGAGCTGAATTACGCTGTAATGACATTGAGCCCGTCGTGTCAAAATGGCGGCTTGCACAGCGTGGTCATTCGAGGTTTTTCATGTTATTTTCAAAGATGAAACTGTGAAAGCAGTGACAGAAGAACAAAAGAAAGCAATCTTTTCTGTTTTATCGGGCCGAGATACATTTGTTTGCCTTCAAACTAAGGTAAGTCTTTGAATTACCAAGTTGCTACCGCAAAAACCGGTTTGATATCACGTGGTGAACATCACTCGTTGTCATGGCAATTTGTGCACATGCGCGACAGAAAACGTGTCAGATCTAGGCAGAGGTCTCTTCTCCTTCGCTTCCTATAGCACAAATAGAGACCTCTGCCAACAGGGGAAAAGTGTCTATGAGGAATGTGCAAATACAGTTTAAAATTCATATAAATGTGTTAATAAATGCATCACTGTAATATTAAAATAACATGTTTTGCATGTTATTTTGCGAAGCTTTTTCCCAGATAATGCATGTGTATCACCGCAATATCAAAAAATCTTCCAAGAAATTCGACTAACTATCCAACTGTTTTCATCAGCCGTCTCCATGATTCCCATCAATCATAATAATCACATTCAATTACCATTGTACCCGGTATAGTTCGTAAGAATAAGCCACTTTTAAGTTTCGACCGCATGCACACCCAAATAACACGTCCTGAGTCGGGATAAAATTGCAGTTGAATCAACGGCTGTGACCGGAAAATTTTAAAATATTATTGTTGAATATACCAACAATAGATTTTGCCAGTCTAGACCTAGGCCTTTACTCGGCTGGCTTTGGCAGGTATCTAAATAATAAAATTCATACCATGGAATTTGTGATTGCATCACTAAATCCATAGTATATATCCATACTATATCCATAGTATGCAAATTGCAATTAGCATATGAAAATTGGATTTCCATACTACTCTCAACTAAGATCCATAGTAAGGATTTTGAAAAAAATTCCAGTGATTAGGGACCGGTCATTATTTATGGTGGGGGGTGGCACCGAAGAGAAATGTTTTTCGTGGCAAAAATTTTGCTGACCCAACCATTAAAAAGTAAAAAAATTGATTACCCAACCTCAAATATCAAGTAAAAAATAAATACCCACCCCTGGCCAAAATTAAACTTTACAAAAGGTTACCATTCAGTTGTCACATATGTCCTTTACCCGATTTCTGTGACAGGAGTTTGATAACTGCTTGTAAAATTTGCTGCAGTCTAATGTATCATGTTGTCTGCACATGTGCTTTCTTTGGAGACACCATTTGTCTTCTAACAAATTGGAAAATGATCAAGACGTACAGTGACTGATTGATTCACATATTGTATTGACATATGCATGACTATAACTTTTTATTACCCAACCCTTGAGTTGTTTTGTTTTTCATTTACCCAACCTTTTACTTACTCAAAATTTAGTTTACCCAACCATTTTCTCTTCGGTGCCACCCCCCGCCATAAATAATGACCGGTCCCTTAGGCTTCTTGATTGCATTATATACGCAGCTCGCGAGCAACTGCATGGCCTCTGTAGCTTAGTTGGTTAGAGCGCAGCACTGGAATCGCACGGGCACAGGTTCGACTCCTGCCAGAAAGTCTACGGTTTTCATTTTTCGCAACTGCCCCTGGTTAGGTCTAATAAAATGTATAAAATTCCTCTCGAAATTTCCATCTACAAATCGCTTCAATAGTATACGTACGATGCCCCGGAGCATTCGCAAAACAGCACGTTGGCGGCTTAAACAAGTGCACCACAAGCGCGAAGACATACTATTTTTGAACGAATATGTACGATTTCTAAGAGACTAACAAACTCAAGCACCGAATATAAAGCGATGCCTACACTCGCTCGGCACCGCAATTTCATGTAACACTCTCTCGGCATGCCGGCTTCCGTTTTGGTATGATTCAACCCATGTTATGATTCAACCGCAATTTTATCTCGTCTCAGGACGATTCATTTTGGATGCACAGTCGACACTAGTATACTGGCTTATTATGAAAACTAACCGAAGATAAACAACTATTTTAGTCTAACCTGATGAACTTGGTGGATCTGTGGGAATTGGATGTTGACCAATTTGACAAATAAATTGCCTCGATTCTGTGCAATGAGTTGGATTGA